GATATGCTAGTGGTGTGACGACCCCCAACCAAGGGAGTGATTGTGTCCAGTATGTCCCCCGTATTTCCGACATGCTAAGTCCGTAACGCCAGGAGCAACTAATGATCCGTAACATGAGTAGGCAATATCATGACTCTTTCTATTTCCAAGTCGGGTCAATTCAACCATCTCATAAATAGGGTTTGTTATTAATTAATATGTATTGTAAATAAGTCCGACTTTTTTTAATTAATTAAAAAAAATGAAGAACCCGACAACCTAACTTGAAAGTAGAGGGTTGAGTTATGAACATATTTAGGTCATTCTGGATACCAACCTAAGATTTTGGATTGGTCCAAAAAAAAAAAATTAACCTGACCCGTGTACACCCTAATAAAAATTGATAAGTACGACTCATTAGAATGTTATCTTCTTTAGATAGTAAGAGAAACACCTCGACTCGACCTCATAGTCCACCAAACCCTTTTCTCCTCTTTTGGGTCAACGTAAACTTAACGGTTTTCACCTCATAAGACATCATGACGTATAACACTCTATTTTATCTCTTATTTTTAATATTTTATCGAGACTTTTTGTAGGTTAAAATATTTAGGTTAAAGATGGGAGAGCATATATGCAAGTGTTGCCATAATATTATAGTTTATACGTGAAGCATCTCTGACACAAACTAGACGTGGACTCCAATAATATCTAAATATACATTTATGTCAATCATGTCATGTCCTCCATAAAATTTAACCAATTGATACATCGTACGTCCGGTTCAGAGGGGCAGGGATATCCGAACCCTAGAAAGGTAGCTTGGTTCTCTCTTGGATGGGCCGAATGTGTACTATAAGGAGAAATTCCTGCACCCCTTTTGAACAACTACTGAATCCAACTAAGCTATAAATTGGAGACCGTCGACTAATTGATTTAAGGTAATTTTTTGTTGTCGTGATTTGTGATGTGAATTCAGTGAGTCGTCCCACCTTCCTACAAGTTCTCTCAGCCCATCTCGAATACGATGCGGTATGATACTCGTGACCCTGCTGGTGGTTTTTAGATTTTAGATTTTTCGATCACTCGAAACAATCTTGACTGGCACAAGGATCTCCTGACACTAACCTCCGGATAATGAATTTACGAACACTTTGAATAATGCGAGATAAAGCTAATCACCATAATACTCATAGTCAAACTTGGATTAAAAAAAAAAAAAAAAACTTTTCATATTTAAAAAAATAATTAAAAATATTTTTGTGGTTAATATTATATTAAAAAAATAAATGGTACTAATGAAACTTTTCAAAATTCCAACCGTATTTTATTATTAAATAAATATATAGTTCAAAAATATTTTTATTAATTTCATTCAATTTAAAATTTTAAAAATATTTTTAAAAAACATATGATAATGTTTATAATAGAATTTTAAATAAAAAAACATAAATAGTTATTAAAAATTAGATATTTTAGTTTAGATTTTTATAGTAATTTTAATTTTATAATATTTTTATTTAAATAAATTACATAAAATTATACCTTTTTTGTTTTGATATTCCCCAACTTGTTCACCTTCATTTATTCTTTTCAACATGTACAATTTGTACTTTTCCCTCTTTTATTATTATTATTTTTTTAATTTTCACTTTTTGAAACTATTTTTAAATATTGGTCAAATTTTCAAAAATAAATTATTTTCACTAAAAATATTTGTAATTTAAAAAATAAAAAAATAAAAAAAACTTATTATCTCAACAAAAATTTTAAAAAATATATAAATATAAATAGAAAAAAATACAAATTTTCCCATCCTTGTGTAATTGAAATTAATTTCATAAAATAAATAAATATTTTTTTCCGTATATTCGATAGATTCAAATTATTTATAAATATTAATTATAATATCTTTAAAATCGAGTCATGACAGTAATAATAAATTTCACGATCATCGAAACGTACATCAAATCAAGCTTTTATAAATAGTTCGAAACTTTATTTTATATAAAGTAATTTATGGGAGAATAAAAAAAAATTCAACATATTCTACCTTTAAATAAAATAAAAGAAAAAATAAGGCGATTTAATTCATTAATAATTATCTTAATACATACGTTATTAGATAATGATACAATTAAGAACATACGTTTTAAAGGATAATATTACCATATTAGAATATGAGTAACGATCGAGTAAATAAGAGGTATATGAATATGTCGAGAGTGATCTCGAAGATACGATGGTTAAAAATACTTCAAATATTTTATGGTTATTACAAAAATACCCTTGATGTTGCCAGAATAAAACAAGTTTAACAAGGAGTCGGAGTTCGACCCCGTCAAAAGAGGACTTAGTCTCCTAATCGAGGTTTATGTCAGAATTGTTTGAAGCTGAAGCTAGCTCATTCCCTGAACAACGTGGGCTAGGAGAGGAGGAGTATTCCCCACAATGACTACGACCGATTCATCTGGACGTCTCTTCCGTCATATAGACGGTGGAAGAACAACTTACGGAAATTAGGACAGCCTTGGCCCAACAAAATGAGATTCTAGCACAAAGTTCCTCCGTCAAGATTGCTAATCTTAAACCAACCCTAAACCCTTCGATAGTTGATCTTTACTAGTATAGAGCATAACCCTCCATGAAGAAAATTTTGATACGAATTTAGGGTTCAAAATTAGGATTTGAAAGTTTGTGTATTTAGGTAGAGTAACTGTGAGATCTCACATTGGTCGGAGAAGGGAATGAAGCGTTCCTTATAACGGTGTGGAAACCTCTCTCTAATAGACTCGTTTTAAAAACCATGAGGCTAACGACGATACGTAACAAGCAAAAACATACAATGTTAGCCGTTGGCTTGGGCTGTTACAAATGATATCAAAGTCAGGCATCGAGCAAAGTGATGGACTTGGGCTGTTACAATTGATATTAGAGTCAGTCACCAAATGGTGTGCCAACGAGAACGCTGGGCCTGTAAGAAAAGTAGATTGTGAGATCCCACATCGGTTGGAAAGGGGAACGAAGCATTCCTTATAAGGGTGTGAAAATCTCTCCCCAACAGATGTGCTTAAAAAAACGTGAGACTGATGACGATACGTAACGAGCCAAAACAGACAATATTTGTTAGTGGTGGGCTTGAGCTGTCACAAATGGTATCAAAGTCAAGCATCAAGCAAAGCGATGGACTTGGGCTGTTACAACTGGTATTATAGTCAGGCACCGAGTGGTGTGCCACGAGGACGTTGGGCCCCTAAGGAGGGTGGATTGCGAGATCCCACATCGATTGAAAAGGGGAACGAATCATTCCTTCTAAGGGTGTAGAAATCTCTTCCTAACAGACTTGTTTTAAAAATCGTGAAACTAATAATGATACGTAACGAGCCAAAACGGACAATATTTATTACTGGTGAGCTTGAGCTATTACAAATGGTATCATAGCCAAGCACCGAGCGGATTGATGAGCTTGAGTTGTTACCATAACTATCATTTAAGACTCTTATCTTAAAAAAGCTATAATTATATTCGTAGACACTAAATTATACCCGTCTTTACAGCTAGTTGTCATTAACACATATTGATATGATATGATGTAATTCTTTATAAGAAAAGACAAGACGACAAGTGACACGACTTAAAAGCGGGACGAAAATGTCGGGTTTGAAACTTGAAAATTACAAGAATATTAAAAATAATTAAAAAAAATAGAAAATGTAAAAGAAAAAGAAAACCAAAAAACATGATGGGAATGGTAATAATATAAGAAGGAATGGTTTTAATATGACCAAAGCTTATATTAAATTAGTAATCCAAGGTGGAAAAAGTGAATAAAATGTCACACAGATTTGAAGGGGTAGTGATGTAATGTTCTACAGTAACGAATATATTTCATTTAATTTCAAAATTAAACTATGGTTGAGTTTCGGTCAGACTCGGGCAGCATCCTACGTCTCCGGTCATCCTTATCATAATTTTCATATATATATATATATATTTCTCGTTTTTAAGCCACCATTTATATTGTAATTTAAAATTTTAAATGTTAAAAATATTTCCAAATAATGGCAAATTTTTTAAATAAAGTTAAATTATAAATTTTATAATTTTAAATTTTGAAATTGGTTGAATAATTATTATTAATATATTTTATTATAATGAAGGTTTTGTTCCCTACCCAATCGCGTTTAAAAAATATTCATAGTTTTTAAAAAATAGTATTAATGTTGTTAATAGTTTTAAAAAGTTATTAGCAGTGATATATAGACGATAGTTTAGATATATATATTTTATTTTCGGTTCCGTCTCTCTCATATGCTTCAGCTACTCGACTTTTTATTTCTATTTTCTAGAATATTCTCTTGATCTCTTCTTTTCGTTCTTCGTTCTCTGCAACTTCTCTTATTTCTCTTATTCGTCTTTCTTACCAAATATTAAAACGTTAAATAAAAATGAGGAACTCTCTTATTTTGCTAGCATTTTCAAACATAAATTTTCACGAGATGTATGTGAGTGAGGATAAATTATATTAGAAAAACTTATGTTAAACTGTGGGAATAGTCTTCACTGTTAGAAGCGAGGTATAAGTAACTTAATCATGTCATAGAAAAAATGTGAGGGTCATAAGTGTCAAATTCAGATTCTAAATTCTACTCTAAATCCTGGACATGAATCGTTACATAAATTTGTAAAATATTCTTAGCATTTTAAAATAAAGTACTAATATTTTCGGTCGAAACTAATGGTAAATATATTTATTATTATTATTTATTAGTTTAACAGTATTTTTTAACTTTCTTATTAACAAATTTAATAAATTTTGAAAATTAAAAAATCTTTTTTATAAATACCAAACTTAATTATAAAAAAACTTATTTTATTATTAAAAACTAAAATTTAAATTTAATATATATATATATATATATATATATATATAATATTTAAAACTATAAAAATTAAATTTTAATTAATGATTGAGACCAAATTTAATATTTAATATACTTATATAATAATAATAATAATAATAATAATAATAATAATAAACAGGGATTTCGTCGCCTATAAATATAATTGAGGCGGTTCTACTCTCGACGCTCACTTTAAAAATTTCACCCAAAATCCATCACTATAGTAGTCAGTCCCAGTCCAATTTTCCGGCGACATGAGAGCCATTTCCCCCTCCTCCTCAGCCGCCATCGCACCGCCGCCACAGACGGCGGCAATCTGGCAGCGAACTTCATGGCACTCGCCGGTGCCGTATCTATTCGGCGGGCTGGCGGCGATGGTGGGTCTGATCGCCTTCGCGCTGCTGATCCTCGCCTGCTCGTACTGGAAATTGTCGACCCAAGAAGAAGAAAGAGATTTAGAGAGCGGAAATAATGAACAAACCGACGAGAAAATCAAAGAGCTGTCGGAAACGAAGGTTTACGAAGAGAAGATTTTGGTGATCATGGCCGGCGATCAAACGCCCCGTTTCTTGGCCACGCCGGCGACCCCCAATTTTCCCTCCGTCAACTCCCATTCTAATGATGATGACGAAGCTGACTGAATTAGGACTAATAATTATCTTTCTTTTTTTTTTTTTTATAACCAAAGTTACCAATTTTTGGGTGTAATGAGAATGTAAATTTTAGAACAGAAATAATTAAATTTTGTTAATCTACCTTAAATATTTAAATTATTATTTAATTAATTAATTCCACGTCACTTTTTTTAAATTTATTGTAAATTAAATTATAGAGTTTTATTAAAAATAAAAGCAATAAAACTTTTTATTTTATTGAATATTTACACAAAAGTAAATATCTTTTATCATTTTAAATGTTAAAATTAAATTGGATAAAATACTCACAAATTAATAAAAAAAAATTATTTAAGGGATTTTAATTTTTTAAATAATAGAACTGAATTCTAATTTAGTAATTTAATCAACAGTTTATTTCAGTATTATTCATCTTCATCGTATTACTATATACTAATTACCTTTAAAAAAAAAAGAAATAAATAAATTTTTTTGTTATGAATAAAAGGACATAATAAAATATTTTTAGAAACATGGACCCCACAACATCAATCCCCAAACATTATAATTACTATATATTCAATTTTGAGTATAGTTTGGAAGATAATTTAAAAGAAAAAAAAAGGGAATTTGATACGTCAAAAATATAATATTAATATCTACTGAATAAATTCTTCCAATTTCTTTATATAAGGAAATTAGATATTAATGGGTATTTTTCTTTTTTCTTTTTTGTTTTTTTTTTCCTTTTTATTTAAGGTATTAATATTAAAAAGAGTAAAGCAAAGAAAATGCCTGTAAATTATATGGGGGGGTTGGGGAGGAAGGACACGTGTCAAAGTCTAGTGTTCGTGCGGTGAAACGACACCGTATCACCTTATTCTCTATTATCCCTAAAGTACCGATTTTGAATTATCTTAAATTAAATTAATAAAGTATATTTAAACCTACCTAATTCTCAAAAGGGCCAAGGGTGAGAAGTGGGCTTGAGCCCATACAAAATGAAGCCCAACAATTAAATTTCATGTTAAAAATGGGCCATGACCAACGAACAACCAGGCTTGGGCCGGTTGTTTGGGCCCAACAGAAGTCCCTAGAAAAAGCCTTTCAATTATTCACCTTTTGTTATGTTAATGTTTTATTAATTAGTTACTAAATGAAAATCAAGTATTTTTTACCATTATTTATTTATTTTTCCATTCAGTCAGGCGATAAATTCTTTTGGTTTCTATGGCTAAGCCCCGCCCACGTGTTTCTCTCTCATTCGTCCATGGCTGATTTCCTTGGTCCCACAGGATAGACTCTCACGCGCATGATGAACAAAAGGAATAGCATAGAGCTGAGAGAGAGAGAGAGAGAGAGAGAGAGAGAGAGATTACATACCATTTTCTTCAGTTTTCCGCCATTGAAGTATGGCTTCGAAGCTTTGTGATTCCTGTAAGGTGGCCGCTGCCACTCTCTTCTGCCGAGCTGACTCTGCCTTTCTTTGCCTTGGCTGCGACTCCAAAGTCCATGCAGCCAACAAGCTTGCTTCCCGCCATGCGCGCGTATGGCTTTGTGAAGTCTGTGAGCAAGCTCCTGCTCATGTTACCTGCAAGGCCGACGCTGCTGCTCTCTGCATCACTTGCGACCACGATATCCACTCTGCCAATCCCCTCGCTCGCCGTCATGAGCGAGTTCCTGTCACGCCTTTCTACGACTCTTCCAACTCCGACAACTCTCTCGCCGTTAAGCCTGCCGCTGCAATCAACTTCCTAGATGATCGTTATTTCTCTGATGTCAACACCGACGCCGCCGAAGAGGCCGAAGCTGCTTCCTGGCTTCTTCCAAACCCTAACCCTAAGCCAATCGAAAATACAGATCTGAACTCGGGGAAGTTAGAGTTTCTAGAAATGGATCCTTACCTAGATCTGGATTACGACCGCGTAGATCCGAAATTAGAAGTGCGAGAGCATAATAGCTCAGGCGCCGATGGAGTCGTTCCGGTTCAGAGCAAAGGCGTCGATCTCTCATCGGTAAACGATCGTAGCTTCGGCATCGACTTCCCCTGCGCTAAATCGTTCCCGTACAGTTACAATCCTCAGTCAATCAGTCACAGTGTAAGTCATCGCAGTTCTCAATTCCTCGTCCAGTTAGTTTCTCATCCAAAATCAAAATCCGGCACCTATAAGATGAATTGATTTAACCACAACATGAATCTCACCTCTCACTTATTCTTCATGACTTTCAGGTATCATCCTCGTCGGTCGAGGTCGGAGTCGTTCCGGAGGGGAACACGATAACGGAGATATCGAATCCGTACACGAAACCGTCAACGGAATCGACTGTTCCACCGCTGCAAATCTCGCCGGCAGATCGAGAGGCGAGAGTGTTGAGGTACAGAGAAAAGAGGAAGAACAGAAAGTTCGAGAAGACGATTCGATACGCATCTCGTAAGGCCTACGCCGAGACGAGACCACGAATCAAGGGACGGTTCGCCAAACGGACGGATATCGAGTTGGAAGCCGACCGAGTGAGTGGATACGGCGTCGTTCCGTCGTTCTAAGTTTGAATAGCTAATAAAATAATAATTAATTAAAAAATAGTTCGTGTAAATAGGAAGGAAGAAAAATAGCTGGGGCAGTTGATCAACGAAATCTGACTGTTGGATCAAGTACAGCATTTTTTTTTTTTTTTTTTTTGTAAAGAAAATCTATGGGAGTTTGGTCAAAAAAGGTTTTCGAAATCCCAATTTTCCTTAATTTTTAATTTTAGATATTGGGATTTCGTCTATCATTTTATGAAACTTTATTGGTGAGCTGAATTAGCTTCCTCTTTGGTTTGGATATTTTATTTAATTTTAGTTTACAATTTCCTCACCTTAGTGGGGAATTCTACCCAATAATTTAATTATATCTCAAGTTAATCCTAATAATTGCCTAAGTGAAACCGAGACGGAAATAGCACCATAGTTGTCTAAGTGAAACGGAGACAGGAATAGCACCAAAATCTCTGCTAGTAGATATTGTTCACTTTAATCGTTGCATCATGGTTTTAAAACACGTAAGTAGTCTAGTAGATATTATCCGTTTAACCGTTACCTCATGATTTTAAAACACGCATGTTAAGAAGAGTTTTCTACACCCATATAAGCAATGCTTAGTTCCTCTCTCTCTCCCACTAATGTGAGATCTCACAATCCATCTTCTTAGGGGCCTAGCGTCCTCGTAACGCTCGAGGTATAAAAACTCAAATCTACCATCAGTAGATATTATCCATTTTGGCCCATTATGTTTCGCCCTTAATCTCACCGTTTTTAAATGACGAATGATTTTTAGACTCTTATAAAAAATACTTTGTTTCCCTTTCCAACTAACCTAAGATCTCACAATAACCGTAAAACTGACGAGAATACTTAACGAAGAAACACATCCTCCAATGTTTACCTAATAACTTTGAGCAGCAAACGTGACTACTTGGATTTTGAATCCACTTTCACATCTGATGAGCTGCAAAGAAGACTGATTGATTGGAGGAGGCATACGGACACCTTTTCTTTGTTGCCTTCTTCAATTTCTCTTACAATTATTGCAAACTGGCTACAACTTTTTCATAAATGAGTGAAATGTCATGTCAATAGTTAAACTGGAAGGATGGTACATTCTCTCTCTCTCTCTCTCTCTCTCTCTCTCTCTCTCTCTCTCTCTCTCCTAATCTGGTAGTTTTTGTCTTCTTCTATCTTGTCGTCCTAAATATTGTAAGACTACCAAGGTTATCCACTCACTTCACCACCTACTGTTGCTTAAAAAGACGAGGAAGAATATCAACATAAGCTAACAGTTCAATCAAGACGTGCACTAATCCAACACAAAATTAAACCAAACCCTATTTATTGTCACACTTTTCATGGGACTACTCCAAAAATATGGCAAATGCCACCACGGTTGAGACGCTAGAGACCCAATGTCACTATAAAGACCAGGGCACAATGTACCACGGTATGGCTCCAAAAGGTGTGGGGCATGCTAGAGCAATAATACCATTCTAATTTCAAGAAAAGCAATACTAGCTTTTTAACATTCCATAAAGTCGGTTCGCTATTTAGATCACCCTAATCATTATCAAACCTGTTTCAGAAAATCACTACATAAAGAATTTGTATATAAAGAAATATGGATAATTTTTAAACAAGGGACAAATTCTAAGCCTAAAAAAATATTTTGTACATTTTAGGATTCATTGTTCAACTAACTAAATCTAATGAATTGAAAATTTTCCTCCAAAATTCAAATAAAAGGAAGTCTCCAACCTATGTAAGATGTAAACTACAGATTCTGCAATGATTCTTCAGAGCTAAACTAGCTGATTCTCATTAATTTCTTAAAAAAAATGTAAAAAAATTCGTGATCTATAAAAGAGAGAACTGTTTAAAAGAGAGAGAAGTAGTTTACTTTCCTCATGCTTTGTTAGAATCGTAGTCTCTCTCTAAGTCATGAAGGAATCTTGAAATACGGATCCAAAGACGGTCAGGGGATTTTTTTCCAATATGCATCATAATGCTTGAAACGACGTCCAGAGAGAAGCTATGAACCTCCCGCTTTAATGCCATGCGAAAAAGCATAGCCGTCCACACTCGTGGTGCTAACTTTATTGCATCACGGAGACACTGAAACCCGTGAACAACTCTTTCCAGCATAGCATCATCCTGTAAACACAATACACCACACTGGCCATCACTCCAAAAACTTCAAGAATGCTCTTATTTGAAAAGCTATTATTTGAAGAAAATGTGTAAAGATGAGTTGAACAAACCTCAGATCTTGTTTGATACTTCTTATCCGATGAGCACCCTAAAACTTCATCTTGCAGAACGATGTCAACTGCTCCAATGATGTCCCGAATAAGGAAAACACGTACCCTTGAACCCTTCTTGGAGAGAATGAATAGAAAAAGATCCTCAGTTGCTGAGACAACAGCTTCCATGTCAAATGATTTCCATCCTAGAGGATTTGAAGAATTATCCTTGGAGGATTCCTCACTCGACTCGGAAGCCTGTTCAGAAATGGCTGCAACCTGTAACAATAATTTTCTTTTAATGGTTAAGATATGGAAAGAATAGCCAACAGACTTCTTAAACGTAGTTCAGATATAATC